ACACTGTACGCATTCTGCTAGATAATGGTAGTCAACATTGTTTCATAAAGAAATCGTTATGTGAAACATTAAATGCACCGTTAATACAGTCCACTTATCACGTTGCTGGGGTAGGTCAAATAATTTCGCAGTCCACCCACATTTGTAAAATAAAATTACGTTCAAGGTTAAATTCGTTTTGTATGAACATTGATTGTTTAGTATTGCCGTGCATTACAAATCAATTACCCACATTTAGTGTCGCTGTAAATAATATGAGTTTACCTGATAATATTCAACTTGCGGATCCGAACTTTCACTCACCGTCAGACATCGATATACTGATAGGCGCGGATAAGTTCTGGGAATTATTGTGTGATGGCAAAATTAAGTTGAATAAAGGACCTTATTTACAAAATACAAAATTGGGTTGGATAATGTCGGGACCTTTACGTAATAACCCACTTCCCGTTAAGAGTGTGCAATGTAATTTCTCCCAAACAATTGACACACAGTTGAAATTATTTTGGGAACTCGAAGAGATAAACAATAACGTTAATAAAAACATCCTTAGTGCTGACGAACGTGCGTACGAAGACATTTTTGTCAAAACGACAAAACGTATGGAAGATGGTAGGTTTTCCGTACGCATTCCTTTAAAGGAATCAGCTGATGTGCTCGGAAACAGTTACACAACGGCTGAAAAACGTTTGTTGTCGTTAGAACGAAAATTCGCTCGTTCGCCACAATTTTGGGAAAAATACGTAGATTTTATGGGGGAATATGAAAGGCTCGGTCATATGAGTTGCGTTGACACTTATGAGTCACCCCACTATTTTTTGCCGCATCACGGCGTTATTAACGAAAATAGCAGTACGACTAAACTGCGCACTGTTTTCGATGCAAGCGCAGCGACGTCGTCCGGTAAGTCGTTGAACGATATTCAACATATTGGTCCACCACTTCAGAATGACATTTTTAGCATTTTATTACGCTTTAGGCAATATAAATACGTGGGTTGTGCGGACGTTGAGAAAATGTTTCGGAATTTTCTTGTGCATCCAGATCAACGGGATTTACAATTGATATTATGGCGTAAACTTCCGCCGGACCCAATACGTGTATATCGCCTAAACACCGTGACGTATGGCACTGCGTCTGCGCCATACCTTAGTATGAGATGTTTACGTCAGCTTGCGCTGGAATGTAAGGATCAGCAGGTTGCGAGAGTAATCCGAGAGGATTTTTTCATTGATGACGTCATCCTAGGTGACAATAATTTAAATAGCTTACTCGATACCTGTGAGAAGTTACGAAATACTTTAAACTCGGCTTGTTTACCGTTGCGTAAGTGGTTGTTTAACGTTGATATCAGTGACCACGACATATCTAAAGACTTGTCATTAGGAGAACATTCCCAAACTAAGACTTTAGAAGTGGGTTGGTATAATAAAAGTGATGAACTTCATTTTACCACACGAGTAGTTAGACCGAATTTACTAAATAAACGTACAATGTTGTCGATAATCGCACAAATATACGATCCTCTAGGAATTTTAACACCGGCTGTCGTAGTAGCTAAAATATTGATGCAAAAAGTGTGGTTGTGCAAGATAAATTGGGATGATCCCGTTCCTAGTGATGTTGCTTTATCCTGGGAAAAAATTATTGACACACTTCAATATTTGCATAACCTACGTATTCCGCGTCATGTTATGAGCGCACACACACAGTTTATAGAATTACACGTATTCACGGACGCGTCGCAGAGTGCGTATGGTGCATGCGCATATGTTCGCACCTACTCTGATGACTCATCGGTGACTGTTAGATTATTGTGTGCAAAGAGTAAAGTTGTTAAACCAGTCAGCATACCCCGATTAGAACTGTGCGGGGCTTTAATAGGCGCACGATTATATAGGATAATTATCGAGTCATTGCGTGTTAATTTCCACAAAATTTACTTTTGGACAGACTCAACTATTATCCTTGGATGGCTACGTATGTCACCACATTCGTTAAAAACATTCGTTCAAAATAGAATAGTGGAGATTAATGAAATAACAAGTAATGCGTTATGGTTACATGTAGGAACCAAAAATAACCCAGCGGATCTGGTCTCGCGGGGTCTTAGTCTTGATGTACTCATTGACAGTAATCTGTGGCGGAGCGGACCTGAGTTCTTAAAAAATTCTGAGTCGGCATGGTCACAGCAATCTTCGACTACACACTCCGACTTACCAGAACTAAAATCACAAACGACAACGGTTATGGTTTGTGATGTAACAAAGAATAAAATTATTAATTTTGAAAGGTTTCGTTCTTATCAGCGTATCGTGCGCGCCGGCGCTTACCTGTTGCGATACATACATAACTTACGCACACCAAAGAAAGATCGTACACAGGGGCCGTTATCAGTAGATGAATTGAATGACTCCTTACAGTCGTTAGCGCGTCTTGCTCAACGCGAATCGTTTCCGATGGAATATGATAAGTTAAAACGTAACTTACCTTTAAAAACTTCAGGTTCAATTTCTAGGCTTAATATATTTCTAGATGAAAGGGATATAATTAGAGTAGGTGGCCGTCTTAGTAACTCGCCTGACTTTCATTACGACAAGAAGCACCCGATACTTTTATCAAGTAAACACAACTTCACACAATTGTTGTTTCAACATCAACACAAAGAGCTTCTTCATGCTGGTCCCCAGCTGCTATTGGCCACCGTGCGTGAGAATTGGTGGCCGTTAGGGGGTAGAAACCTAGCTAGTAAGGTTGTCCACCAATGTGTTCGCTGCACTCGAATGAAAGGTAAAACCCTAACACCAATCATGGGCAACCTTCCGTCTGAACGAATAGAACCTGGTTTCCCATTCATTCGATGTGGAGTGGATTATGCGGGTCCCATAAACGTACTGAATCGCAAAGGAAGGGGAGCTAAATTGGAAAAGGGCTATATTTGCATATTCGTTTGTTTTGTTACCCGGGCCATTCATCTAGAACTTGTCAGTACGTTAGCTGCTCAAGAATTTATATTAGCACTTAAAAGATTTATCTCACGACGAGGTAAACCAGCTCAAATTTTCTCAGATAACGGTAGAACTTTCATTGGAGCCATGAAAGAGATTAACAAAATGTTAGAGCGAAATTCAAAGCAAATAATTGATAGATTATCAACTGACAATATTGAATTTAAATTTATTCCCCCCTTATGCTCCTCATTTTGGGGGATTGTGGGAAGCAGGAGTAAAATCATGTAAGTTCCACCTTAAGCGTGTCGTGGGTACCGCTAACTTGACATACGAGGAGTTCAGCACTGTGTTGGCACAGATCGAAGCAGTCCTAAACTCCCGTCCTATAAGTCCTATGTCCTCAGATCCACATGATCTTCGTCCACTAAGCCCAGCTCATTTCCTCATCGGCCGGCCACTCACTGCACCAGCCTGCAGAGACCTCACCGAAGCACGGACTCACAGCTTGAAACGGTTTCAAAGAGTGGAACAAATAAAACAGCACTTCTGGAAACGCTGGTCACAAGAGTATGTTGCTGAACTTCAGACAAGAATGAAGTGGAAGGCGAACAGTCAAGACATAGCATTAAACACGCTTGTCGTTATTAAGGAGGACAATTTACCACCCCTTAAATGGCGTATGGGCAGAGTTACCCATATTTTCCCCGGAAAAGACGGCGTGTCGCGTGTCGCCACCATCCAAATTGCTACAGGTCCTGTACAACGAGCGTTCTCGAAAATCTGCCCTCTGCCTGTATCATCAGCAGAGGACGACAACATGAATGCAGCCTGCGGTATCTCCAATCAAGCGGCAACGTAGATACATCATTGGAAGCTGGAACTTCCAAGGCGGCCGGCATGTTGGCGCGACTTCTAACGCCGCCTAGCGACGCACCGGAACACCAAACTTTTAGCTACGAATCAGAGCTCGTCATTGTTAGCAACCAATCACAGCACGTCGTGCAATTAGTTATAAGATCTGTCTGTATTAAATTTTGATTATTACCTGATACACACTGTTAGCAATAAGACGACTTAAATATAACCAACAAACGTTCAATAAATCAATTCATTGAAGAGCACCTGCCTCCCGTTCCTGTACAAAGGCATATAATATCTAATTCACATCCTATTTCACGAGGAAAATCAGTTATGTATATCTGCAACAAATCAGTTTTATTAAGAAGTCCAGCTATGTTTTGGTGAAAAATTGTAAGGATTTGGTTTTTACAGACGAAAAAAATTGTCACGTTTTGACCCTTCAGCTGTTACTTCGATATTAGCATTTTCGTTCCGGTGCCTCGCATAATTGTTTACATAGCAAAAATAATCTAAGATAGTTTTCTGTGTGATTTTTCTACTTTTCTGTTTATTGACATTTTTATGGGGGAAACGGATTAAATCATGACGTTTGTTAAAGCTAAGGAATTTTTCGTTGTAGTTGAGGCTATCTATTAAAAAATTTATTTTGTACAAATGTCAAAGCGTTTTGTTTTATCGTCAATGTGAATGAAATGACAATTATTGAAATTGTTACATAGAAGGCGAATGTTCCTATTCAACAGGTTTTCATTCAAAAAAACATTTTTTAGTACGCTTATTACAATAACAGTTAAGTTCTGTTTTTTTTTTTCAAAAATTCAGATAGTTCTAATAATACTTTAGTGGGGTTACAGTCATTTTCACCAACATTAATTACTATTTTATCTTTATTATTAAAAACAATATTTTCGCATCCGTTAAGAATTTCTTCTGTAGGCGCTTGTGGTTTTGTATCTGCTGTAATACAATATTTTTTCATATTTGCTGTTGAGTCTTGATCGAATCAGTGAAGAAGCTAATCCTACACATTGTTGCCCTTCAAATATGTGTATCTTATTTAAAGTTTCTTTAGCCGTAGTAGCAGTTTTAGGCGACGTGATATCTTCTAGTGACGTATCCTTATCGCTTTCCTTAGTTTTAGCTTGTATTGCAAAATCAGGGCAGTAGCTTGTTTGTATTGAGGAATCGTCAAGGGATTTGTTTTGTCGCATAAATGTTGAGTCTCCTTTTATTTTTGACTTGCGCTTTCTGACACTCCGTGAACATATGGCAGTAAAGTGCTGAATTCGATTTTTTTTGCTCATGGACTTCTTTTTGTAATACATTCTTTTCCATGTGCAAGTTTTCTATTTCTGTATGTGCACTGGCAAGTTTACTATTCAATGCCTCAATTTTTTGCTTTAATTGAATATATTCGTCGTCATAGTCACGAGTAGAAAGATCAGGAAGGCTTCTTCTGGGAGATAACGAAATATCCTCCAAAGAATTATTATTTTCTTCTAGTAATGAGTGACCTTTTACGTCATTAATTATAGGTTCGTATTCATTTTCCCTAGTAAATTGCTTTCTAAGAGTTATGTTGTCTGTCATAATATTAGAATTTTCTTGTGCTGTACTCGTATATGCTTGTGATGTGTTTGCTTTAAGAGTACTTATAAAAACTGGATTAATTTTACATGATTTTGTAGGTAATGTATGTTTACACACCTATTTCTGATACTTGATATCAGATGGCGCTAGTTTCATCAACTGTGGCGCGCAACCATACATTAATTAACCCGAGTGACTTGAGTCTTTTGATTAAGTGTTATTTTCTCTTTGTGATTGTTAAATATTTAATAACATTGAGACCTACGTTATAACGTTGGAATGATATTATTTTATGAAGATTGTCAAAACATAACAAAAAATATATGTATAACTACCTATTAATTTGAGTAATAGTAATTGTGTTGGATGGCAGAACAAATTTCTAGAGCGCCCAAACACGATTGTCTCCTTTTCCATTTAGTAGGTCTAGGTTTGTATGTTGGTCATTTTTTATATCTTCTAGGTTTATTAAATTTACTACTTTTAAAATTCGTCAGTATTATTGTAAGGTTCTAGAACTGCATTTCTGCTTAAACAGTCTGCACACAGCTCTCGCCTCCTTGATACTAGCATCTGTGTAAATGATTATTGGTAGTTCACGATTAAATATATTCAAAATTGGTTCTGAATATAGCAATCCTTTTGTTTTGTCAAACGATTTCTGACATCCGTACATAACCAGGTCCAGGATAATTACACTGCGTGGTACAAATTTATAATGAAAGTTTATTTACCAAAGGAATTGACGTATATTTTTCGTATTTTTGGAACTGATTTTTTTTAATAGCGTTTAAATAATCTTTTAGAGGACGACATTTTTTTCAAATTTTTTAGCATCTTCTTTTTTATGTGCCCGGGGTTATTGGACCAGCAAATGGACTAAGATTCCTCAATAATTAATTATAAGACTAATATATTTTTTTAAACTTTTGATATTGGAGTTTCTATTTTTCTCATATCTCAGCCATACATCTGTATGGACTTTTGTAACGGTATTAATCCACCATCAAGTCAATATAAGCTTTATAACATCGTACAGTACTGACGTCATATTTATTCTTAGCGAAGACTGGTTTGTATTTTTCTATTAACTTGTCAATTTCTGATTCTTGATATAAATCAAAATGGTCTATTAACATTTAAAATCTTAAAAAGAAATATTTATTGAAATTTATTTCACATTTGTTTATTTGTATAATTTGTTATTTAAAATACCTCAGATTTTAAAAAGGAATTCTACATTTTGTCACCTATTACATCAGGAATTTCGACATTTATTAAACTTTAGTTTTTGATTATTGTATATGCATATGTATCTTCTATGTTTCATTTCGAATTAATTTAAAATTTTTGATACTATTAGAAAATCTTAATTAAGCTATCTACTGTAAAAATATCCATTATTCTTTCTATATTATAAATTTTTATTTTCAGTGTTATCATACCTTTTGTTTTATTCTTACCATTAATAGTTTTCAAAACTAGATTGTACAACCAGTGCGTGTTGCCAGTGATGACGTACGGATCTGAGACGTGTTCCTTCACTGCTGGCCGTATGAGGACACTCAAGGTCGCTCAGCGAGCTATGGAGAGGGCTATACTCGGAGTTTCTCTACGTGATAGACTCAGAAATGAGGATATTCGCAGTAAAACCAGAGTGACCGACATAGCCCAACGGATTAGTAAGCTGAAGGGGCAATGGGCCGGCCATATAGCTCGAAGAACCGATAACCGATGGGGAAGAAAGGTTCTCGAGTGGCAGCCTCGTACCGGTAGGCGTAGTGTAGGGCGACCCCCTACTAGATGTAGTGACGACCTGGTAAGATATGCAGGAAGTCGATGGATGCAGGTGGCTCAGGACCGTGCTTAGTGGCATTACTTGGGGGAGGCCTATGTTCAGCAGTGGACTTGTGAAGGGCTGTAATGATGATGATGATGATGAAGTTAACCATTTGTATATAAGTTGTATTTTCTAAATAAATTACTAATTCATAGTCTATAGCTAATGGCTATATCTTCTATAATTTTTGAATTAGTCAATGACACATCTGAACCTGAATCATAAATTCCAGAAACTGTTACTGTCATTTAATCGTAACTTTGCTTCTGTTATGGTAGCACATCTAGTTTTTTAGATTTTTCTCATTCAGTTCATTTCCAGTTTCCAGTTCTGAGTTATTGACAGTTTACAAAACTGCTTTTTGACATTTCCCTTTAAACCCACAATTATCTTCAGGGTGGTAACATTTCCCATATTTCTCGTTGACACCTATTTGGCATGGTTTTTTCTTTATTTTTTTGGATTTAGTATAAGATTATATAATACTTTTTTGTCATACGTATTCTTTCTAGCGATATATTCCAATCTCCCTTATATATTGTAGAGATCTTCCATCTCTTCTATAATTTCTCTGTTAATTTTATCAGCCACAGAATTAGGTAAGCCAAATGCTATAAGGTCTATAAATGTCCCAGTATCAATTGATTTTCTTAAGAAACGGACCTTCTTGATATTTAAATGCAAGAGTATATCTAATGGGTGACCATTCTTTATTCGCAAAAGTGTCACAAAATATTTTCTTCCAACTGTTCCATTCCAATTCCACTGAAAATTTCATTAGCACGCAGTTTTCTATTGTACAAATAGTACATACATTACACATTTTTTGTGTATTCCAAAAATTGTTTTAATATTTAAATTTTCTTCGTCTTTGTCGATTTGGAAACGTTCTCATTTTTTTTTTAATCTTAATCCACTGGTAAGCGTTTGAGTTTCTGCCAGTCTCTCAGTCATGAAATTTAGCAATTTTCCTCAAATTTTTAAGTTTTGAAAATACTGTTAGAGAAATAACTATAAGCGATTTCTCTAACAGTATTTCCAATGTTTGATTTGAGGCACTAGGTATATATTCAACATTATTTGTTTTTTCATAATTTATTCCAGTAAAAAACATGATAAACTGTAAGGTTTGTTGGTATGGTATCATGTTCAGGTAAAGTAGGCACCAAAAGCAGATTTTTCACGCTTTATAGATTGCAGAAAATCAACTTTTTGTCGTTAAAAACTGTGAATTCACAGATTTTTTAAATTCATTACAAAATATGAAGATTTTTCTTAGTAAATTATGGTGGCCAGAACACGAATGATACATTTTGTAAAATTTTCTCAAAATCTACAATTTTAGGTACGTTGACTAAGTAAAAAAGCAGTTTAATTCAAATGTAGTGAAATCAATTTCAATAAAATTCGGGCTATGTGTTCACCAGTAAATACGTGAGTGAATTATGGGTTTATTTTTTCATAAAAAACTTACTATACTATTACTTAACATATCATTTTAAAAAGAAATATTCAACATCTAGTGGGATTAAATAGCGCGCGGGCCAAATAAACGGTCCCGCCAGTCCGACTGGCCCAGTCCGCAGCGCGTCGTAGAGAACACCCGTGTACATTTTTATCACGCCCGCTGTCGTCTTATAAACTTAACAATACATTTAAAAAACATTGATAACCGTGGTATGCCATTGAGTATAACAAAATCAAACCTCAACATTTCTTTGTTTCTTGAAACATTTGCAAAAAATGTTGTTTTATATTGTTATTATACTCTGTTATACCTATAAATATTATTGCGTTTCTCTGTACATTAAAAGATTTATTTAAGCTATTGCATAGCTTTTATCGAGGGCTTAGAGCGCGGCGACCGAATCAAGAAATTCCGTAACGAAAATAAACCTAACCCCCGCGACTCCGACCGGCACAGAGGTGCGGCGTTGAAAGCCGTGCATCGTTTAACGTCGTTTCAGTTCGGCAGATTTCGGCACGGTGTTTTTGTGCGTGCGACTACACCCACATGTATCGTAAGATAACAAAAATATTTTAAACAATATTAACTTCTCATTTATTCATTAAAAGAAAAAAGAATTGTTTTCTTATCGGTCACCACTCTCAAAAAGTGTAACTTGAATTAATATCAAAGAAAAAAATGCTGCATAAATAAAGTAAATAAATAATTATAATTGCATAAGTTGATAAAAATGCTATGCAATAGCTTTACCGCGGCAGTTCCCGAGTGCCACACGTATTTTTTAAGTATAATATAATATTTACAACTATTAAACAATTAGATATTAGTTAAAATAAATTCATTCACCTATAAAATGAAGGTAATAACTTCAGTCTTTATTTTAGGTCTTTTTATACTTTAGAAGTATAGAAAATATTACCTTAATCTTACTCGCAGTAATATTTATTCTAATATTTTTATCATGTCGTGTCATAGAAAATGTCTAGATGTCACAACTGACATTTTCTATAATACGGCAAATACAAATTTAAGAAAAGCGCGCGCATATGAGTGAAGTGGTTTTCTTTACATGTACTCATTTGCTTTCCTATCTCGTGTAAAGATAGAATAGAGAATGAAGCAATCTTTAAAGACAAAAAAATACCCAACTATATCGACGTTTCTATAGTTTATTTATTAGACTAATATCTAATTATATCGATATTTCTATATTTTATATAATAGTCATATGTATTTATTACATAGTTTACTATCATTTTTAATTTGTTACATCTAATTTTCACCAATCCACGGATTATAGAGGTAGAGAATTCCTCAAGGTATTAATTCCGCCCTTTGTTTTTTTGTATATGAAGAATGCAATAAGTAATAAATAAATAAATGTTTTACTACGGTACACAGAAAAGAAGGTAGAAGATATAAGGTTTTAATTACTTTGAAATATGCAATTAGGTATATTAAACATTAGAATCCTCAGATTTCAATATCGCCATATATCACGAAATATTGTTTACGGGAACAATGTATAAAATGTATAAAACTTTTTTGTAGAGGATCGTATAAAATTCGGTAGAAAATTGTGTTTGTTTAGGTCTGTACCAATTTTCAGGTCTATGTGCACTTCGTCATCTATTTTGCCTGTTAGTTGATATAAAAATTCCTGTTTAGTAACATATTTATTTTGTTTGGCGA